TTTTTTTTTTAATATTCAACTAAAAATAATAAAAGAATAATGTTTTAAAAACCATTTAAATTGATCAACATAATTTAAATAAATCTTCATTCCTCTATTATATTCAAACAAGTTTTATTATCTTTATTTTGAATCAAATAAATTTTTATAATTAATATTTAATTAATTATTATTAATTAAAATACTATTTATTATTTTATACTTGTAAGGTGTTAATATGATGTAGATGTAAAAATGTAATGTGATTATACTATTATACCATCAGTATATCACATTACTATTTATTATAACATGCCAATCTATCATATTAACATCATGTGACATAAAATGATAAGTGACATTTTGATTAATGACAAATAAACAATTATTAGTAATAAAGATCTATTTGGTTCAAAATAAAAATATAAATATTTAATTGATTTTAAAAAAATAAAAATTATTTAAAATTTTTTAAAATAATTTAAGAGTTTTTTTAATATTTTATACGAATAATTAATCTATAACATTTTTATCTTTTTCATAAAAATTTCATTAAACTTATTATCATACCATTATACATATTGCTAACTTTTTAACTGTAGTATTATAATAAATGTATAATATATTTTTTTGAGAAGAATCTATAATATATATAAAAGCATGGGAGGTTGGTGAAACTTTTGATTGACAAAAATGAGCATTTGCTTTGATTAAATTACTCATTACTATTTTAAATTAATTTTTATTTGTTAAAATTTTATATAATAGACATGTTATTCTTCTCAAATATGTCTTCTTCTTTTTTTCATTCATTTCAATAAATATTGCATATATGCATGTTCTAATTTTTTACTTACTAATAATCATGATTTATGGCTTTAAAGCTGGAAGGGGTATTTAAATTAAAAAAATATGCTAAATTAATCTCTTAAATTGGTTTGGATGTCATTAAATTAAAAATATATTGTTGTATTTGGATATACTCAAGATTACTTATACTTTTTTTATATTTTGATTTATTTGTAATAAAAATTTTACTTTACAATGAAGATTTTTTTTTATACAAGATTTCTTCTTTTCACAAAATAAGATTTTTATAAGATTAAAGAATGTGAAACTTAGTTATTAAATCACCTTTTTATGTTTTATATTCATAATTTAAAAATATATAAAATACATATTTAAAATATATATATTTAATCACACGTGTCATCGTATACTAGTTCTTTATAAATTCAAAAACAATAATTTATTATATAATATTTGTTTATAAGTATCACCTTATTACCACTATGAATAGATAAAGGTTGACACTTTTCCTCTGTAAATATCATACTATAAACACCAATATATTCGTACAAGTTAAGAATTTTTTAAGTCTCTCTGCACTAACACGTCATTCTGATTTCTTCGTGGACGGAAGTACAGCGATGCAAAAACGACAGCTCTAACAACCATACGTACAATAGGCTTTCAAGCCTTGTTAACGTAAGTATTAATTAGATGCACCCAACACTTTTGAAAGTTTCATTCTCCACCTTCCTAAGTCCACCTATCTACGTCCATCACCTTGACTAAATTTATTTACACCCAGTGGACGGTGATTATTCAATGCTGTATAACGCTGGGCCGACATTTTAGAGAAACTTCCAAGTGCTTCTCGGCTTAGACAAAAAAAATGTGAACCCCTTGGTGGAAGAGATGATTTACGGTATTTCCTTTTATGACACTTGGCGTAGTATCATTGGTTGTAAGCAGAGAAAGTAGGCTTACGTATAGGGTACACGGAGTTGATTTGTGGGCGCGCATTTGACCTATCTAGGCTAGGTCACGGTAGTAATGATGTGCCGCCAATAATGAGAGACAAAGCCACGCGTTTTTTATTAGAAAAAAAAGAAGGCCTGGACTCTGGACGAGTTGTTGGTGGGGCCAGGAAGACATGTCAATATATACCAGGGAAGGGCAGCTACGAAGCAAAGCAAGTAACCTTGAGAGACAAAGAAAGGACAGGTAGGCGGGGAACCGGATTTCTCTTTCTTCTGCTGTTGGGGAGTGCATGCGCTAAACGACGATCAACGATTTGGCGACATCACGCCCCGCCATGCGTTTGGCTTCACTGCACTCCCACCCCTCCCAAACTTAACCAAGCGCATTTGAAAAATCTAAAATCTTGTTTGGTTTTTTCATTTAATTGTGTTTGATCACAAATATTATGTTTAATAAGATATCAATTTTTAATCCATAGTTTTGAAAGCAAAAGAAATCTCTAATCGAAATCATCAACTTTAATTTCAATAATTATTGTCGATAGTAAGTATTAAAATAAATTTAACAATTGATATAATATTTTAAAAAATTCCTCAATGATTTGAAAAAAATTTAAATGAGTTTTTAATCTTTTTTTATAATATTCAATTAAGTTTTTTTATATATTTTAGTTTAGTCTCTATACTTTAATTTTAGATTAAATAAATTTTAATAATTAATTATTATTAATTAAAATATTTTTTAAAAAGTTAACTGTTATAAATTAAAATATCACTTATTATTTTATATTTACTTAACATTAATATACTATTGATATAAAAAATAAAAATGTCACATGACCACTTCAAATATAATATTGAAAAATGTTCTATAATGTTTTAAGAGCTCCTTTAGACATTTTGTTATAAGAAATTCATTTAACTTTGGAGAAAACTTATAATGTTGAAAAATGTTAGTGTCATAAGCTTGGGAAGAAATTGGGCAAGAACCATAGGTGTAATTTATTCTATATGGGTGTCATACGCTTGGAAACTCATGCATGTTGAAAAGGTGAAGCAATAAGTAATAAAGCTTGGGTTTGATAAAAGATATTGATGTGTTTGTTAGAGGATTGATTTTCCTCATGTTTCCTATTATGTACATAAAGCATGTAAAATGGGTTCGAAGCTAAAGCTGACATGATTTTAAGGGCAGTGATGGGGGTGCCCAAAATTTTAATCACCTTCTTAATTGAATTCACTTAAAAAATTATTGAAAATTGGTATGAGCTGTCAAAGGTGGAGCTCATCCAATCATTTGGTAAATGAAGAAAAATTTTGAAATCAAACTTAATTGAGCATTCGAGAAGAAATACCAGCAAGTTTTACTTTATCAATCATATTAATGTAATAAAAATGAAAGCCAAAACAAATTTATTACTTGGAAAGGTTTGTTATATATATTTATTTATTTCTTCTTCATGTAGAGTAAATCATGTTAGGAGATCGATCATGGCAGCTCTTTAAGGAATAGAAGAGGGCATTTGAGGGTGGGAAGGATTAAATATTCTTACTTCTTTAAATTTTAATTAAAATTTTAAATGAATTTATTAATTTTTAAAATAAATATTACATCTTTAAAAAGTAAATATCGTTAATAAAAAATATAAAAAAAATAAAATATTTTTTTAATTTAAAAGTTTATTATTTTATATTTAAAAAATAAAAAAAAAAGCACCGATCGATACTCCTCTCCCTTGGGAAGCACAGATCTGTTGCTTCTCTCATTCTGAGAGCATTGATCGATGTTCTTTTATTTATTTTTAAATTAATAAAAAGTAAAATTATTCTTTTAATAATATCACATTATTAAATTAATGAAAATATTAATAATTGATTAACAACTAGTCTTATGTGTTAAATAAAAAATATTTTTTTAAATGAAGTATTTATTTTAAAAATTAATAAACTCGTTTAAAATTTTGATTAAAACTTTAAAAAGTGAAAGCATTTTACCTACAAATTAATGGTTTGAAAATCAAAAAGCATAAAACATATCCAAAAAGGGAGAGACTGCCTCAGCTTCAACTATCAAAGGACTAGTAATCAACGGAATAACAAAAGGCAAAGACCCTTTATTTACATTTTTCATGTAATTCTTCTTGATAAGCATTATACTCAATCCAAGGATAAAGGGATAAAATATTTACTTTACTTTATAATGAGTTATATATGTATGAATCCAAGAAAATAATGGGTTTTTTTTTTAATTTTTTTATGAAACAGTTAAATGTTTACCTCTTGAAGACTTCTAATGACACTTTAACAGCAAAAGATTGATACTACTACTTAAGAGCAAAATAACAAGCATACTTAGTGCAGTAGTTATATAAGACAACATTTAATTCTTCATCTAATCCATGTAACTTAAATCAAGTTCTTTCCCAAATCTGGGTAATTTTATTTGGATTTTATAACTTCCAAATTGCCATGATCTAATTCCAAATTGCCATGTAGAGAAGTGTAGTTCTAAAGTCTCATCATCCCTCGAATTCTTTGTTATTTTTGTCAACATAAAATCTGGTAGCTGATCCTCCCTCAGAACAAGTCGCAATCCCTCATTGCCCAATCATATTTAATGCTTTTATTCATCGGCTTTTACCCAATCGGAAAACGAAAGAAAAGTGAAATACATGAATGGGACATTGAAACCTTAAAATCTAGACAATTCTACACTCCGCCACCAAGGTTTGCTTACACGACATCAAAGCAAAGGGTAAAATTGAAATAATATTTTTTTAAAAAAACTTTTACCCTTTTTAAAGTAAATTCCACGTGGCTATTCGAAACGCATTACCGCCTTTGTCCAGACATGTTACAATCCCAATCCTTCTCCCCCTTTCCTGTCATGTCTTTTTCTTTCTCTGGTCCTTTCTTTTTTTTTTTAAACTAAGCGTGAAATGATCCCCCATTAATCGCTCAGTAAATTCAAAAGCTTAGTACTTCGAATGATGTACACGTGGCAGACACGTAAGCAAGAGACAACGAAAGCAGAAGGGAGAAGGAGAAAAAAAACCGGGTCCAACTGTCCAAAGTGTATTCTCCTTTTCAGTCTAGTCTCTCTTTTTCCTTGCCATGTGATTTGCTTAAACAAGAAATTAAAAAAAAAA